TGTAGCCTTCACCTCCTGGGTTCAAGCAATTCTCCTGCCTCAGCCTCCCCAGTAGCTGGGACTACAGGTGCATGCCACCGTGCCCAGCTAATTTTTGTATTTTTAGTAGAGATGGGGTTTCTCCATGTTGCCTAGGCTGATCTTGAACGCCTGGGCTCAAGAGGTCTGGCCACCTCAGTCTCCCAAAGTGCTGGGATTGCAGGCGTGAACCACTGTGCCTGGCCTAGCTGTCTTCTTTAAGTATCTTGGTGCAGAGCACACTAGAGCTGGACAGCTCCTTTAGTGGGGGTGGGGTCATGGTTTAGGTAGGGATTTTGGAGTGAGTTGTGGGAATAGTTTGGATCAGGGACAGGGTCTCAGTACAGTTGGGAGTCAAGGTCAGATGAAGGTCTTGAACCATCTGGGCACAACTTGGGATTCAAGGTGAGTAAGTGGACTAAGGATGGGTCAGGCTGAAGCCCAGATTTGTCCTGGGGTCGAGGACCAGGAAGGGTTGCATTCAGTTTCAGGATGAGCTTGGGCGAGGGGACTGTTGGAGATGAGATGGCTGGAAGTCAGGACTGGGGCCATTAGACTACAGTGGATCTGATTACAAGTAGGAGCCCTGGAGTCATGAAGACCAGGGGTCCAGTCAGGGCATGTCTACTGTCTTGCCGTGCTTCTGGGGAGGTGACATCCTTTCTTGGAGCCTCAGTTTCCTCCTCTGTAAAACATGGTAATATTAGCACTAACCACTAATGTGAGCTGTGAGTCATATCTAGCTCTGTGCTTGGCACTGGTGAGCACTCGCCTTTCTGTGAAAAGTATCGGAGCATTTTGAGGACAGGCATTTGTCTCCGTGGGTTTATGTCTCCTGGTGCCCAGCTTGCTGCCTGCCACCCTCCCTTGGCTGCCTCCTTTCATTTCCTGGGCCTAGGGAGCTATAGAATGGGGTTGTATTACAGGGGTGGACTTGAGGCTTGAGGGTTCAAGCCTGAAGTCCCAGATCAGGTTTCGATTGGAGGACAAGCTCAGGGGTAGAGCTGAATGGGGCTGGGGTTACAGAGGATCAGGGTGGATCTGCTAGGCGGGTGTGCTAAACATAAGAAGAAAGGCCAAGTGGGAGTGAGATGTGGACGGGGAAAGTGGTGGGGTGGGGAGAGGGCCAGAGGGTGGCTGAATCACACACACTCAGAGATCTGACAACTGCCTCCTTTGGGGACGCTGCAGCCCCATTACATCTCTGAGGCCCCACTCAGAGTGGAAAACATGTCTCACCCGAAACCTGGTAGGGCAGGACGGGAGCCTGGGCGGCCCGCCGCAGGAGGAGGCCCAAGGCTGCTCTCCCTCCTTTGGGACGTCACCAGCCTCCTCCTGGGCAGCTGATACCTTCTCACGACCACCTTCCACCTCCTGCCCTGCCCTATGCTGCACTGTGGATAACACCCCTCTGTCACTTTCTGGAGGAGTGAAAGGATAAGGCCAGATCCCCCAAGGCCTGAGGGCTGTGTCTCATCTTGTCAGAGGAGGGCAGAGGCCCAGAACGGAGGACATGTCTCTTGGGAAGAGACACTTCCAAGGTGGCTGGGGGTAAGGGGGGAATTTGGGGGAAAGGCTTGGGGAGTGTGGTGGAACGGCGGCCCGAGAGCCCTCCTGGCTTCCCCTCCTTCACCCCACTTCCATTCCTCCTCTGTCCCCAGAAATAAGAATGTCTAAGCCCCTGGAGGCCGAGAAGCAAGGTCTGGACTCCCCATCAGAGCACACAGGTGGGTGGGCAGGGAGCAGGGGGGCAGGGGTCACCGTGGGCAGGGGAAGTGGGGCAGATGGGAAGAGGGCTGGGAGGGGATAGGTGTGGTGGGGGTGGCTGATGACAGCACATCCTTTCCCTCTCTTTGCAGACACTGAAAGAAATGGACCAGACACTAATCATCAGGTTAGGAGGTAGTGGATAAGCGGGAGGGGATGGGGAGGAATGGGGAGAGGGGTCAGAGGGGGCTGTGTGCCACCTGTGGTAGGAGGACAGGGAGCTGGGGTGGTCAGAAGCTGCTTCACTACACTATTCCCATCCCCTTGCCCCTACTTTCTCTTTGCAGAACCCCCAGAATAAGACCTCCCCATTCTCTGTGTCCCCAACTGGCCCCAGCACAAAGGTAAGCACCTGTCGGAACAGCCAGGGAAGCGGGCAGCGCTTGGAAGAGGGTCCTCAGGAGGCCTGCCTCAGTCCCAGGGCTGAGAGAGCACTGAGCCTTGGTACCTTGGTAACGAGGTTCCTCCCGCCCCTTCTCACTCTTGGGCTCCCACCCCAGGCCTGTGACTCACGCAGGCTCCTTCCCCTTCCCTAGGGGGTGGGGGTGGCCAGGGAAATCCCCCCCAGAGCCCCAGGGCGATGAACAACAGGAAGCCAAAGGCCCGCCCCCATCCCAACTTCCCTGACCCAACAGGGGCCTGCACCACCCCCTGTCCCCCAACATACACATTTAGTGGCCAGCTGAGGTGGGGGTGGGGGGCTGGCACCAGTTGAGGATAGCTGTAGGGATGCAGGAGGAGAGAATGACAGGGAGGCTGGAAGCAGCCAGGCAGTGCAAATTCCACATCCAGATGGGGCCCTGTGCCTGGCATTCTGGGCTTCTTGGGGTTTGCTTGGGCCCCGGTCTCCACCCTCCATCCTGGTCCAGGGGTAGCAGGCAGGTCCAGAGGCTTGAAGATAGCACTGGATGTGGGGGCAGAGAAGGTGTGAGCAAGACTCCAGACCCTGACCAGCGGTGGCTGATGGATGGGGTGGGAGGCTGGGAACTGCTCCCCACCCTGCTACAGCTTTGCTCTGTGACCATGGGAAAGTCACTTCCCCTCTCTGGGCCTCTCAGTTTCCTCTTCGGTATCATTGGTCAGGGGGGAGGGGGCAGTCGGATGGGATGGCCTCTGTGGTTGCCTCCATGTCTGGTGTACCCCCTTGCCACCATGAGAGGGGAGGACAAAAGTGCTTTGTGAATGGGCGTCCTGCTTCTGTGCTGAGCACTTTGAACGGGATCCAGTGGAGACAGGCTCTCGATCTTGACCTCCTTGACCCTCTGATGGCAGGTTTGGCTCTTGCCTTAGCCCTCAGAGCACAGCGTCTATCCATTGCCCCCACCCTGTCCTCAGTTGAATCAGATATTTCCACTCTGTTCTCAGACTGGCAGCAGGCTTTCTTCTTTTGGGGATGCCAGTGGGACCGAGGGAAAGAAGGTTTCTCCCTCCCCTTCCTGGCCTCGGGCTCTGTCCACAACTCGCCCTGTTTCTCTGGCCTTTGCCGCTCAGCTTCTCTCCATCTCTTCTGTCTCAGTCTTTCCCTAACTGAAGTGATTCATGTGCTCCTGTCACGGTCTCAGGCATAAGACCACTGTGTGCCACTATTTACATATAATTTTGTTAATTGGCTCAATTTTTTAAAAAAACACCTTATTATGGAAAATGTGAAGTGGATACAGAAATAGGGAGAAGGGTATAATGAAAATAAACCCCCTAGATAGCCATCAATCAGCTTCAACAATTACCAGCTCATGAACTGGCTTGCTTTTCGACAGCTTTTTAAATAAATGTTTTTTAAATGGAAATTTCACAAATGGAAAACCAGAATCACTTGCCACGGAAATAAATACGATGATTATTAAAATTTACCCAGAGTCTCTTGTGTGCCGAAGGGTCTAAACCTCAGAGGCCTGTTCTCTGCTTATTAAAAGAGGAGATTAGGGCTGGGTACGGTGGCTCATGCCTGTATTCCCAACACTTTGGGAGACAAAGCAGGCGGACTGAGGTCAGGAGCTTGAGACCAGCCTGGCCAACGTGATGAAACTTCAACTCTACTAAAAATACAAAAATTAGCTGGGCATGGTGGTGAGTGCCCGTAATCCCAGCTACTTGGGAGGCTGAGGCATTTTGGAGAATTGCTTGTTCCCAGGAGGTAGAGGTTGCAGTGAGCCGAGATCGCACCACTGCACTCCAGCCTGGGCAACAGAGGGAGACTCCAGCTCAAAAAAAAAAAAAAAAAAAAAAGGTGATTAGGCCAGGTGCAGTGGCTCAAGCCTGTAGTCCTAACACTTTGGGAGGCCAAGGTGGGTAGACTGCTTGAGCTCAGGAGTTCTCAAGACCAGCCTGGTCAACATAGTGAGACCCTGTCTCTACAGAAAATACAAAAATTAGCTGGGTGTGCACACCTGTAGTCCCAGCTACTTGAGACTGAGGCAGGAGGATCGCTTGAGTCTGGGAAGTCGAGGCTGCAGTGAGCCATGATGGTGTCAGTGCACTCCAGCTTGGGTGACACAGCAAGACCCTGTCTCAAAAAAAATTAAATTAAAATAAAAGTGGAGATTAGCTAGTATTGGAGAGATGGTAAAGACATTCAAGCACTAGTCAGAGACTGTAAGATAACCAGAAACAATGAAAAAGCACTAAAAAGGGAATAGTGTACTTACCATGGCATTCAACATTATTTTTAAAAAGCTTTTTTTTTTTTTTTGAGACGGAGTCTTGCACTGTCGCTCAGGCTGGAGTGCAATGGCATGATCTCGGCTCACTGCAACCTCTGCCGCCTGG